AGGGGGCAGTGAGAGAGTTTATCAATACTTGTCAGAACGCAGAGGGACCTGTGCATTGCAAGTGGGTAGGTAGACGATGACTGTGATAGACGGTAAAATCGATGATGGCTGTTTTATTGTGTAACAACTGCAGTGTCGGACACTGCCTTATTTTAAAAGGGCATTCCTGGTCCTTCCCCAGTTTAGGGTATGCTTTACAGGACAGCGTGAAACACCAGTTTAGAATACTCTTAGCTCTCACATATCCCCCCCAGGCCCCATCCCCACAATGCCACCTTAGAAAACAAAGAATCTAAAAATATTAGGATATACTAGTGTTCCCAGAAGTGGGATCGCTGAGCAAAATGAATTGACCAACAAAATAAGACCCAAAGAATGGAGGCATAGAACAGGCTGACATACCTCAATGTGCGGTTGCGGGGACAAGAAGAGATAAACCAAAGAACTTATATACTAATAGGCATAGCCCATGGACACGGGCAATAGGGTAGTGAAGATCTGGGGCTGTTAGGGGCTGGGAGGAGGGAGGGAAGGAAGAAAGGGGGGGGGATATCTATAATACTATCAACAATAAACATATATTAAAATAAAAATATTAAATTCACAACACATCTGTTAAAAGGCCAGAGTGTGGCCTTCATCGGAAAAGAAATGGAATTCAGCTCAGTGATAACTTTTGTCAAGTTCTAGAATGATCAGCTTTGACACAAAGCTTTCGGGAGGAGAGAAACATAGTCAGTCTGAATTTTGTAATTGGGAAAATTGAATCCAAATCCAGGTTTCATGTCTATACACTTCAGATGCCTTCTCATAGCCTTCAGACTCTCATGATAAGATTATGGCATATTTTTTTTTTACAATTCTTGATTTTTAGTAAATGTACAAATTGTGCAACCATCATATGAGGTCGTTTTCCATAGAACTTTATTCCTGGGCTATTTGGGAAAGAAATCATCTATACACGTTGATTGTATAGTACTAGGTACTCTAGGTGTGTTGTCTTTTCTTTGTAAAAGTGACGCATAATAATTAGAAGCACACACTCTATAACCCGGCAACCTGGCTTCAAATTCCTTTGGCCACAGGCTGTGCCACCTTGAATACCCTAGGTGCCCAAGCCTTAGAGTTGTTATGAGTATCAAATGAGTCAATACATGTAAAGTTCTTAGGGCAGAACCTGGCTCATAGTATGTGCTATATATTTCTTTGGTCTTATTAATCACATTTCCCTGATGAGGAAGATAAAGCAGAGGAAAACTACCTGTGTCACAAACCCAGTGTCACAAATCTAATGAGACCTAGGACAAGCTGAATAAGGTTTATCTCCCGGCATTGTCCTTCAGGATATGGCCCCTGAAAAATCAGATATTTTAAATAATGTGCATTGTTTAGATGTCCTTCCTGAAGATTGCTTGAAGTCTCTAGACTATGTGTAACTATAATCGCATTAGTATTACTAAAAAATTATATATGTTATGCCTAATACAACTCCCTCACATTTTACTTACGTAACAAATATTTATTGAGCATCTACTATATACCAGACACTCTACTGGATACATTAAAGAGTAAATAAATAAGGAATACATGGCTCCTGCTTTAAGATTGCATACTCAGTTGTACTGGAGCAAACACCACCATTGACGATGACAAGCCTGGATTGATTGTCTAAAACCCATGTGACCCAGAACCCATTCCCCAGTACATAGGGCTTATTTTTACAATAATTAAGGTCAGTGTTCATAGAACATTGATAGAAAACCATTTTGAGGGTTGCATATGATCACAAAGGAAAAAGTGATTGACCACTACTTTCTCTATGTATATCTTTATTTTAATGTTTTACTTAAAACTTTTAGTAACTTGAACAAGATATGCCCCCAAACAAGCTACTGTGTTTTTGCCAGTCTTTTAATCTTAAAATTATTATTAAAAATGAAACTGAACTAGTTTCTTTCTGAAGAAAACTCTGACATAGCATGGCATTATTTATATACTGATACTAGAGGCCCAGTGCACGAAATTCGTGCACGGGGGGGGGGTGTCCTTCAACCCGGCCTACACCCTCTCCAATCTGGGACCCCTCAGGGGATGTCCAACTGCCGCTTTAGGTCAGATCCCTTAGGCAGTCAGACATCCCTCTCACAATCTGGGACCACTGGCTCCTAACCGCTCACCTGCCTGCCTGCCTGATTGCCCCTAACCACTCCTGCCTGCCAGCCTGATCACCCCCTAACTGCTACCCTGCTGGCCTGATTGCCCCCAACTGCCCTCCCCTGCTGGCCAGGTTGCCCCCAACTGCCCTGTCCTGCCCTGCCGGCCTGATCTAGCCCCCAACTGCCCTCCCCTGCTGGCCTGGTCGTGCCCCCAACTGCCCTGTCCTACTGGCCTGGTCACCCCCAACTGCCCTCCCCTGCTGGCCTGGTCACCCCAATAGCCCTCCCCTGTTGGCCTGGTCACCCCCAACAGCCCTCCTTTGCCGGCCTGATCTCACCCCCAAATTCCCTCCCCTGCTGGCCTGGTCACCCCCAACTGCCCTCTCCTGCCGGCCTGATCGCCTCTAACCCCCTGTGAGCTTGATCTCGCCCCTAACTGCTCTGCCCTGCCAGCCTGATCTCACCCCTAACTGCCTCTGCCTCAGCCCCCACCACCATGGCTTTGTCCAGAAGAAAGTTGGACATCTGGAAGATGGCCAGCTGACCTGGTCTAACTAGCATATTACCCTTTTATTAGTCTAGACCAGGGGAACTCAAACTACGGCCCGCGGGCCACATGCAAATACAAATAGTGTATTTGTTCCCATTTTGTTTTTTTACTTCAAAATAAGATATGTGCAGTGTGCATAGGAATTTGTTCATATTTTTTTAAAAAAACTATAGGCCGGCCCTCCAACAGTCTGAGAGACAGTGAACTGGCCCCCTGTTTAAAAAGTTTGAGGACCCCTGGTCTAGACGATACTAATATCTAACATTTAACTTTGTTCTTTCCATATGCTGGATGCTTTGCTCTGCATTAAAAAAAAATCATTCTCTATAGACCTCCCATTAATTATAAGAGGGATAAATATTTACTAACTTTTACTGAAGAGAAAACTGAAATTTATTGGCAATTAAGTAACTTATCTAAAGTCAAAAATTTAATAAATTCAAGACCTGGATTTAAATCCAGGTTTACCTGACATCAAAATCTGTATGCTTAAACACTAGTTGATATTTCTACTCAGCATATCCCCTTAGAAAACCGTCATATTTAAGACCACTAAGAGTTGCAATGCAAATTTATTTAGAAAACAATGTCCTTGTATAGCATTTTTAAATGTTGATTTTAGTGGGATAATAAATGTGTAGAAGGCAAAAATATTGATTTTTATATCTAACATTTTTGAAAGATGACATTTGAGACAGGTTATCAAAGATCCCTGTACACAGGAGCTCCTTTAACCACTTAAAATAGAGAACTTCAGGTGTTTTCACAGTTCTGCAAAATGCTTTATATTGTTGTCAAATCACAAAATCTATTTTATGCAGGGGAAAAAAAAGGAAAAGATTAGACTTCTGTGGTGAGAAGCATTGAGCAGAAATGTCAATACATTCTTCTGTTATTTCCCAGGCTTGACCTGTTAGCAAATCTAAATATCAGCTCCTGGGAATTTAAGGAAACACCTTGTGTAGAGAATATTGGGTATTCACAATCTCTCTAACATATGCTCTGATATTTCCATTTTTGAGCCTTTTAAAAAAAGTCTTTGCAGTCAAAACACTATTATATTAATTCTGTAATATTCGCTATTTACTTTTGGGCCCAATTCGCATTATGCCCTCTTTTGCATCTATACTGAAAGGTGAGTATCTTCCCAACATGCACTGTGCCTTGATCCTGTTTTCTTCCTGGGTCCTGTTCTCATCTTTGCTGACTGCAGGACTCCTGTGAGATGTACAGCCCCACTTCACAGCCACACAGCACCTACGTACTGATCGCACCCAATTTCATCCTATTCCCAATCCTCACGGTTCATTGACCTCAGTTTTTAACCATTTTGGGACTTTTCGTAAGCCCCCTCAAACTTTTTGGAATAATTGCTGGACCCAGCCCTACAAAGTTATAGAAGAGAAACTGAAGAACCACTGTCAGCACTGGACTTCTAGATACGACTATGTCACGCTTTCTGTTTAATCTGCATTCCCTCCTCTTCACTAAACGTAGATTTCTTCCCAGGAGTATCATTTGATGGGTGGCCTTCTGAAAACTGCAAAGAAAGTAAGAGTATATTATCAATTAACACATTTTAAAAAGTGCAGCCCAGTCAATGTGGCTCAGTGGTTGAATATTGATCTATGAACCAAGAGGTCACTGGTTCAATTCCTAGTCAGGGCACATGCCCAGGTTGTGGGCTTGATCCCCAGTAGGGGGCATGCAGGAGGCTGCTGATCAATGATTCTCATCATTGATGTTTCTCTCTCTCTATCCCGCTCACTTCCCCTCTCTCTAACGATCAATATAAACACTTTTTAAAGTACAGTGATCCTACCACCTTGGTTCTTCCTGTATTCATGTGTATGTTTGATTCTAATGTCTTATGTGCAGATTGAAGAGAGCAGAGGCAATTATCTCCTAACATTAGCGTATGTAGGAGGTATCTGACGCAGGTGTAGGTTCCTTGTCTTGTAAATGGAACGTTTGTGGCATTTTAAAACAAATACATCAAGTGTCTTTTTAATTTCTATATATTAGGAGAAAATGACTGGATAATGATAAAATGTACTCATTTCCACTTCTCCCAATGGAAGAACAAGCTTCTATCTTGGCTAGGAATAGAAATTTTATCACCTTGAACATATATTTTATTTTTAAATCAACCAATGTTTTTTATCTTTATTCATGTTAGACAGGAGTATGTTCTCCCACGAAGTGCTTGTTGGATTTGTATTGTAACTTCTTTTCTTTAATATGAAGAACATGGAGGCACCATCTAAGTTTTGTTTTTGTTTGTTTGTGTGTAGCGTGGAGACGATCAATGATGGAAACTTTCACATTGTGGAGCTACTTGCCCTGGACCAGAGTCTCTCCCTCTCCGTGGATGGAGGGAGCCCCAAAATCATCACCAACTTGTCAAAGCAGTCCACTCTGAATTTTGACTCCCCACTCTATGTAGGAGGTAAGCACTCTTCCAAATCCAGTGGGTTCTGATGTGTGATTGTCATCAAAGCCTGATTCTGAAGTTGTTGGCGCCTGGTCCCATGGTCATTGACCAGTACTGCTCCATCCCTGAAAGACAGCAAGGATAGAAAAGAAAGAGCCCAGATAAGCTGTTAAGGAACCATTTGTAATCCCAGCTCTGGTTTTAACTGAATGGGTCATTGGGTGGAGAAGAACATTGGTATTTCTTTGTGTCTATCACATGCTAGATGATGTACACATTATAGAAATGCACCTTATTATTCAATCTGGTCTATGGAAAAGGAAGTGGTGAGAGGAACTTACCCCAGAGCAAGGAACTTCCTGTCATGGTCCTCTCCTGGAAATGGCAGGCTTCATCCTTCTGACCTGGCTCTACACTGCAGCCCAGTCTCCAAGGCCAGATGGACATCGACTAAAACCCTGAACTCATGGAACTTCAAGCCAAGTGCATAGTTCAGTACCCATCAAAGTGTGATGGGGAAGCACCTGCATCAGAATCACCTGAGTTGCAGGTTAACATTTAAATCCCTGCATGACATACCTTCCTGCTGAGTCAGAATCCCAGGGAGGGGAGAGAAAGGGGTTGGGGCCCCGCCTTCCGGGCTTGCGCTTCTGGTGGTTCTTATGTATGACCAGCTTGGAAACAACTGTTTTAGTCCATCCATTCATGTTGCAGATGAGAAAACCAAGCCCTAGACCAGCCCAAGTGCACCCAGAACCACCAATAGAGACTTTGACCTCTAGCCTTGTGATGCTGTGCACTTAGCTGTCTGACTCTGGCTCCTTTGAATGGGAAAGATGATGATGCCATGAGGCAGGACCCAGGGAGTACTCAGGTTCTTGGTCATTGTAACCATTGAACCCCCTAGAAAGTGAGAGCCAGGGCTTTCCCCTCTTGAACCCTCCAGCCAGAAGCTCAGAGTCCAGGCACAAGGAGGACATGAACAGCCAGCAGGAAATCAGCTTCTCTGCAAGCCTCCACCATCCTCCCCTTCTCCCACCGCGACCTGGACAGTTGCCTCCTGTGGGATCTCATCCAGGAGCTATTTCTGGGTCTGGCTTAGGCCGTGGAAAGATTCCTCAGTGTTGCCAAATGTGGGTTACTCCATGACTATCACTAGTGGAATGAATATATACAGAGATTGCTGATTCTTTGTTTGGAGGAATTTCTTTTGTATTTCTGATGTCTTGGAATAGGATGGTTTCCCTCTCAATTAGCAAGAAAAACAATGATGTGAATGAGGTGCTGTCCTGACAGGAAGCATGGCGAGTGTCTGAGGCCCTGGCATCCACGGCTGTGCTCTGGATGTTACCAGTGGTGACCTGGATTAGTTTCTAGCTTAGAATTTGGCAGGACCAGGGTCACAGTCACTGTGAACCCCCAGCTCTCACCCTCTGAATCCGGATGGACTGAACTGTGATGAGAGATTGCAGAGGTTCATCTCATGGCCTGACTCTAACTCAGTCCTGCTGGGTGACATTGAGTAGACCCTTGGGCCTTGGGCCTTTTGTCTTTAAGAGGCAGGATTAGTCAGAGATTACTAACCTTGCTTTGTGGAACTCCAGGCTTCCAGGGGGTGTGTCCAGGTAGAGGGGTTGAGTGTGGAGACGGGAGAGAGTACTACCCCCACCCCCTTCCCAATCCTGCCTTTTGGGAACAGTAGCTCAGCTTTTAGGTTTTATATATGTATGCCTTCATGTCAGGTTTGGTTTGAAACAAATATTAAAAATTGAAGATTGACCATCAATGAACTAGGTCCTTTCTCTAGTTGTACATTAAAATTGCCCAGAGTATTTTCTTTAAAAAGAGAAGCAGAGAACACACATCTCGCCCAGCTGGTATGGCTCAGTGGTTGAGTTGTAAACCTATGAACCAGGAGGTCATGGTTCGATTCCCAGTCAGGGTACATGCCCGGGTTGCAGGCTCCATCCCCAGTGTGGGGCATGCAGGAGGCAGCTGATCAGTGATTTTCTCTCATCATTGATGTTTCTATCTTTCTCCCTCTCTCTTCCTCTCTGAAATAAATGAAAATATAATTTTTAAAAAAGAAAAAAAAACACACATCTCTTCTTCCTCCCCACCCTGCCCTGAAAATCGGATCAAGGAGGTCTGGGCTGAGGTCCCAAGCAATAGTATTTCTTCAAAGAGCCCATGGGATTCCCAAGTGCATCCAGGTTGAGACCACAGGACCAGATGCTCATGCCATCAGTCTCTCCGATAGCCGTGTCCCACATACTGCCACCCTGCGGGAGAGCTAAGAGCATCTGGGTGGTCAATGGCTGAGGAGTCCCCAAAGAGCCTGACCTCTGACTCGCTGTCCCTCCCCAGGCATGCCCGGGAAAAACAACAACGTGGCTGCCGCCCTGCGCCAGGCCCCCGGGCAGAATGGCACCAGTTTCCACGGCTGCATCCGCAACCTCTACATCAACAGCGAGCTGCAGGACTTCCGCAAGGTGCCCATGCAGACCGGCATTCTGCCCGGCTGTGAGCCGTGCCACAAGAAGGTGTGTGCCCACGGCACATGCCAGGCCAGCAGCCAGTCCGGCTTCACCTGCGAGTGTGAGGAAGGATGGACCGGGCTCCTCTGTGACCAGAGAACCAATGACCCCTGTCTTGGAAATAAGTAAGTTCGGGCTACTTGTTAGTGAAACATGCATATGGCAATCCTCAAAGCAAACCCTAGGAAAGGGAGGGGAGGAGAAAGGGAGAGAGGGAGGGAGGGAGTCAGCCCCTTAAACTCTCTCCTTCATATTTCCTCCATCCTCCTCCTCTCTGCTCATGCATCGTCATTCCTGCCTTCCTCCTCTCTGCAGATGCGTGCATGGCACCTGCCTACCCATCAACGCCTTCTCCTACAGCTGTAAGTGCCTGGAGGGCCACGGGGGCGTCCTGTGTGACGAAGAGGAGGACCTGTTTAACCCCTGCCAGGCCATCAAGTGTAAGCACGGGAAATGCAGGCTGTCCGGCCTGGGGCAGCCCTACTGCGAGTGCAGCAGCGGATACACCGGGGACAGCTGTGACCGAGGTAAGCCAACCAGCTGGGCACCTCCGCGTCTTAGAAAAGCAAGAGGGCCTTGTCTTTGAAAAGAGAGAGAAAGGGAGACAATGGGAGTGAGCCAGAGAGGGGGGAGTGAGAGCAGGAAGGCCAGGACTTGTAGTTGCTGCTGCTGATTGATTTCCCAGTGTCATGAAGGCAGCAGACGGGAGCTATCCTCACCTTCCGAGTCAAGATTGTACCCGCCTCGGCTGTTTGCTCCCACGCTGATCTGCTGTGAAAACCCTCCCTTCTGCCTTCTGTAGGTAGCAGCCCACCTAACTGGATTCCTTTCTTACCTTTATCCGATGTTCTCACCCAAATATATTACCAGTGTGTCTCCTGGCACAAAGAGCGAGGTAATAAAGAGGCTCTAGCTTGAGGATAACACCACCTCTGACATTAGAATCAGAATGGTTTATCCCAGCGTATTATGCAGGTGCGAGGGATGGGGCGGGTCTGAGGTGCTGGCCCGCCTCTCTCCTCCCTCGTGTCTGTGGGACCAGCTCGCCCTGGCCTCCAGCTGGCCCAGATGCTGCTGAGTGTATAAGAGGGACCAGACAAGGGGAACGTGCCCACGGAAGCTCTGAGCAGATGGCTCTTTTTGAACTCGTTCTTACCGGGGTAATTTATGAAGTCCGTGGAATGTTCTTTGTATCAAGTAACAGACTGAATGATGTTAAACCCCAGGTCTAATAAATTAAACCGCATACTCTCGGAAACGTCTCCCTGCGGTAAACAGATCCAGCTGCTGGGAGTGTAAAAACAGAAGAGGCACATTTTTGCCATAAAAAAAAAAAGGGTTAGGGACCCAATTTTCTTGTCAGTCCACTGGCCATAGTAGTTACAGCTCACACTGATAATATTCACTGAAAATAAAGGCCCCAAAGAAGCATTTTTTTCTAAGGACAGCAGGCCAAGCCACCAGTCCCTATATGCCCTGTAACTGACAATAGCAGGAAGGGACAGGAAGGAGAGGCGCCCCCTGCTGGCTCCAGGGCGGATTCGCACTCCCTCTGCGTGACTCACAGCCTGTGCTCTGTGTTCTTCCCTAGAAGTCTCCTGCCAAGGGGAGCGGATCAGAGATTATTACCAGAAACAGCAGGGCTACGCCGCCTGCCAGACAACCAAGAAGGTGTCCCGGCTGGAGTGCAGAGGCGGGTGCGCGGGGGGCCAGTGCTGCGGGCCCCTGCGGAGCAAGCGGCGGAAATACTCCTTCGAATGCACGGACGGGTCGTCCTTCGTGGAGGAGGTCGAGAAGGTGGTCAAGTGCGGCTGCAGCAGGTGCGCCTCCTAACCGCCTCTCGGGGCTGCTGTCTTGGCAGATGCTGTCTCCTGCTTGGCCACGCTGGACTCGCGAATGCTTCCTAGTGGAAATATTTGAAATATATTGTAAGATACAGAACACACTTATTTTTATTATGAGAATAAAGACCTTTTTTTTCTGCATTTGGAAGAAAAAAAAATAGAAATGCGTGAACCACAGCTTCCCCGACGCCGGAGAAGTGGGAAGGGAGGTCACCCGGAGGCATTGGAATAGCGATGGGGACCAAGCACATACCCAGGGAGCCAACCGCGAGCCTGAACTTGAACTTGGCCCGAGCACAGGCCCGTGAGCCCGCATCTGAGTCACTGCGGCCCACGGGGACCAAGCACATGTGTGAGTGAGGATGCGAGGCGGAGGGATGGAGCCCAGGAGTCGCAGATAGGACACCTGGATGAGAAATATTTTGTGCAAAATATAGAGGCCCCGGGACCTGGGTCCCACTCGTGGGAGACAGGATGGGGGTGCTAACATGTTATCGTGTTTTTATACAGGTCGGCATGCTAGCACAAGAAGCACACAAAAGTGTTTATCGACCATTTTCCAGTATTAATTTTTTTGTAATATAAACGATAAAGGAGATGATAAAGAACCAATAGATTATTGATAAATTAGTAATATGATTTTTTTTGTTTCTATGAGTTCTAAACAGCCCTATACAGTATTCCGTTTTCATGAGAAATATTTATTGTATCAAAGTACATTGTGCTTAACATGTTAGGCCATCCTTTTGCTGTTTCTTGATGCTTTAATATATATTAATTTATAATTGTCCTGATATTTTTGTACATTTTTTCAAACTTAAAAATCAGGATCTTTTTGGCAATAGTACTAACATAGGGTAATATCTGGGGATAAAGATGTGTTGGTCTGTTGTTTACTTAGACATCTGACCACTGGTGTCACTGACCTACTGGCCTCACTCAGGCCACCTGCAGAGCCCTGTAAAGTCTATGAGTGAGACAGTCCTTGTACAGAAGGTGGCCGCTGCAACTGTCCTCACAAAACAGAGAAGGCATGTAGCAATTGACACTAGGAAGTAGATCTGTTACAAATTAATACGTCCTTGACCCTTTTGGCCCTTTGGGGGAGTGGAGTGGCAAAAGAAAAGGCTGTAATGACAAGAACTGTGATTTTTTCCCCCCAAAACAATAAAGCTCCTTTATGACCCTAATGTTCTCATGTTAACATGTTTGCTGCTAAATTATAATGTAGAATTGAGAGTGATTTATAGTGGACTGTGCTCTTCCCTCCTCAGAATCCCAGGGTACCCTGTAAAGATGCAGATGTTTCTTTCCAAAAGCTCTTTTTACAAAGACAATTAGATGTACATGTATCATTCAGATGTGCTCTGTCTTTCTCCAGACTAATATCAGTGACACTACTGATGTTTGTAAATTAAACAGATATTTACTGCATTAACAGCTTGGTGAATTTCTTAGAAATTGCACAGTGTTTAGAGTCCCGGCCCTAAGAATCCCTTAGTCATAGTGATTCAGTAAGAACAGAGAAGAGAACCTGTATTTTCTGTTGTCAGAAGTTGGCTGGCAGTTAGCATAGTGTCAAGTCTGGGGGCTTGGGAATGGCCACATGGAAGAGAGGAGTAGAAGGACACATTCTATGCTAGCAGGAAAAGTGCCTATTCCATTCATTTCTCCCCCAAACAGTATAAGGTGTAACCTAAGTAAAGCACAAATGGTATTTTTTATTTTATTCTTTTTTCCTCAATTGGAACCAGATGGAAAACAATGAAACCAGGACTCCCTTTCTTCCAGGGCACTCTCAGGAGGAGTTAGTAATGGCAAGGCCCATCCAGAACAGGGAAATAGCATCATCCTAAGAGGCTTTCTTGATTTTCCAGTAAAAATATCATGATCACCCACGTACACACACACACACACACACACACAGTCTCTCACAGACACAAATTGTTCAAACATGTATCCATTCTTGTTTTAAATGTCTACATTTTAATGATAGAAATACATAGTGATAGTAAAACATTTTTTTAATTTCCATCAGTTGCTCTTTTTTTTCCCCCCCAAGAGTTGTGTATCATTCATTAAGCAAAGAGCATATAGGATAATGATATGGTTTAGATTTGTGTTCATAGGTATAGGCTATCTTAATAGCTACTGTTTTTTATATGCCAGGCACTATACCAAGGGCTTTCTCTGAGATACCTCATTCAACTCTCACTGCAAACCTATGTACAGGGTTGTCATGCTCCCCACTTTACACAGGCATTAACAGCCCAGAACAGAGAAGCTGAAATCCTGTGTCCATGTGCGAGAGAGGCAGGCAGCAGCTCCGTAACTACAACCCTCCACTAAGGCTCTTTTAACCCTTCGAGCCTCATTTCCAAAGCTCAGCTTTTCTCTCTCTCGACCATGTTGATTTAAGTAATCTAGATTAGAGACGTTTGTTTTGTTTTTGTTTTTTAAAGGAAAAACAAGAGACATCTTAGTAGTTTCCAAACTGTATTCTTTCCTCTTTCCTGCTTATAAAAGCACAAAATAGAATTATACTTGCCGGAGATTTGGGCTGAGTTAGCAAGTTTCCTAGGGGATTGTTTGCCCCATGATGGCACTACTTCCTCCACATGAGCCCTTCTTTGAGAAAATTCAATAGCCAAATAATTCCCAGCAAATGAGACAAATTAAAGGCAATAGCTCATGTTATAAAAGGCTCCTCACTTTGAAAGCCTTGACCATAAGATTACTTTAAGAGGGAAACGAACTATTCTAGAGAATTCCCAGCAGACTGCAACCGTTAAAAAACATTTTGCACATTTCAGAATCAAAGCTACTGCACGGAATAATGTACATTTGTAACTTGCAAAGATGGAGTGATTAAACATCTTTAATGTGTTTACTTTTAAATTCTCACACTGGTGAGGCCCCATCAGGAAATGCCATGGATATTTGACATGTGTTCAATTTAAGATATGTTTATTAAATAACTATTTCAATCTTTCAGATTTCCTGAAATTATTTCTAAGCAAGAATAGACTAACCCTGGCTTTAAAATTGCTCTGAGCATTTTTTTTTTTTTTTGAAGGCTTGCTTAGTTAGCAGCAATTCTTTCTGGAGAAATGGTTGAAAGAATTTGAAATTGATTCAGGACTTAAAGGTTTTAAGCCTTATGGTATCATCTGCCTCATAGTGCGACCATTATTTCAAAATGAATGTTTGTGAAAATATATAGACTATTAAAAGTATATGAAGCTTTATATAAAGTATATAAATCTATGTAAATTACATAAGCTATTCATTCTTAATCATGTCTGTGTCCTCCAATTTCATTTAAAAACACATTATTTCCTATCTCCTATCACATGCAAAAAACTATGCTAGACTTTGATACATAGTGTCAGATAAAGCACACCTCTTCTGCCATTTAATTTATTTTTTTGTTAATCCTCACCTGAGGATATTTTTCCCATTGTTCTTCAGAGAGAGTAGAAGGAAGGAAGGGAGGAAGAGAGGGGGAGAGAGAAAACATTTATGTGAGAGAGACACATTGACTGGCTGCCTCCCACACGCACCCCAACCAGGGTGGGGAGTGAAACTGCAATGGAGGTACATGTCCTTAACATGGAATCGAACCCAAGACCCTTGGGTGCACAGGCTGATGTTCTAATCACTGAGCAACACTGGCCAGTGCTCTTTTGCCATTTCAGAGCAAACACTCTATGCAGTTGGAGTAGAGATTAGAGTAGGTAATAGATTTTATACAAACGACCATACTGATATTATTTTCAGATTGTGGTAAGAGCCCTCAACGGAATTATAAGATAGAAAATGGTGTAACAGTGGGTTCATATTGAGAGGTCAGGGACTGCCTCTGTGGAGAGGTGACATTTAAGCTGAGTCATAAAGAATAAAGTAGGATCTCGGATGGAGGCGGACGGGAGTATATGTGGGGGTCAAGGGTGGGGTCCGTGCAGAGAAAGCAGCCTGCGTGCAGACCTGAGTCGCAAAAGAACTCTGGTGTGGTCCAGGAAACGAAGTAAGTCTGACCAGAGTGAGGCATATGTGTATTTCATGTGTGGAATACAGCGGCTACTTTCTGCTTTTATAAACTCACTCCATATAGTCCACGTTTTTCTTTTGAGCATCTGTTTGCAGTGAACTTTTAAAATGTCAACAAAAAATGGATTTCCATTTTAAAATAGCAACTAGTTAGTTGTGTTTAATGCAGTTCCCCAACTGCCAAATTAAATACCTCTGAAGAAACAGAAAATATAAACCCTTACAATAGCACTAAAAAATAAGAATAATACATCTTGAATTTAGAGGAATTTTCATGAACTCAAATGCCGATGAGGCTGGATTGAAATAAGTAACTGCTGGCCAACAAGTGCTTTGAAACTGAAGTGCATTCCTTTCTCTGGATTCCAAGGCCAGAGGCTCAGGAAGTGGGTCAAAAGGAAAACATCAAATACCTGTGCATTAAGGTGCAGCTGTGTGAGGATATTAGAAAGCTGTGCCTCCAACTGGCAAGGTAAAATCTTTCTTCATCTACTAGGATGTTCCGGTCTCATCAATGATACCAAACTACAAGAAATACTAGGGAAGAGCAATAGTATTTCTCTGAATCTCAAGAGATGTAGTCTATAAATAAACTACTGGAGATGTGGATTGAGCCTAGAAGAGCCATGATAGCAATGCATGCCTAGAATGATGGAAAGAGGGAAGTAGTGGGTCAATACAGAAAATCAAAGAACAGTTACATTGTATTGACTCACTATTGAGCTAATGAAATGATTTGAGCAAAAGCATGTGGTGGAGATGATACAGGTTATATTTAGGGTGAGGGCTAAGTAGTTCAGAGTTCTTGGTCGGCCTATAAGTCTACTAAGATTATCTGAATAGGGGAACGGTTTCTCCAGACCTACAGTATGGAATGTTTAGATGGCTGCAGAATTTAAAATGAATTGATCAGGTGACTATTTCTTAAGTCTAAAAAAAGGTAAGGGCCAGGATTGAAAAGGGAAAAATATGGCAAATGAATTTGAAGTGACAACACAGACTGTACTGTGACAGTGGAAGAATTAATAATTCACGATGACATTGGATATATTTGGCAGGGAAGAAGGGGAAATCAAGCCTTACTCCTTATTTTGAGCTTGACTATTTGCTTCTGCTTTTCTGATGCACAAGAATTGAAGATTTGGTTGCAGTATGGTGACTGCATAAGGCTGGAAACAGCTTGAGAACCAGAGTTCCTAATCAGGGAAGCCCAGCTTTCTGACCTCAACCCATCCTCCAACCAACTGTTGAATGAAAAATGATAAATTTATCTAGATCATGTATTTAATATCTTTAATTAAATATCTTCAATCAACTCTCTGTAGGATAAAAATTCAAACTCTTTAGTATGGTATTCCAAATCCCTCCTAATGCAACCTTCTCAAGCCTTCCATGTATGCTTTTGGATTGACAAATGATAGGAAAGAATATTTTAAAACAAATTGTGGGAGGAGCTATCTAAAACCATAGATGTAAGATTCACCCATATAGAAGTGGTACTTGAAGCCAAGAAAATGGGTGAGTTAATTTAAAGACACAATTGAGCCCTAACCAGTTTGGCTCAGTGGATAGAGCGTCGGCCTGCGAACTCAAGGGTCCCAGGTTTGGTTCTGGTCAAGGGCATGTACGTTGGTTGCAGGCACATCCCCAGTAGGGAGTGTGCAGGAGGCAGCTGATCGATGTTTCTCTCATCGATGTTTCTAACTTTCTATCTCTCTCCCTTCCTCTCTGTAAAAAATCAATAAAATATATTTAAAGACACAATTGAATGAACATGATCAGAGGATTAAGACTCAACTTTAGTTGATGCTCACATTTCTGGAATGGAGTGATCTCAGAATGGAGGTGAAGAAAGAACAATTTGAATAGAGTCATGAAGAAGTAGCTGGATAGTCATGGGTGAGGGGTAGAGGTGGTGAGAGAAAACTACCCTCACAAAAAGTATAAAAGCTAAGGAATAGGAGAGTCAGGATGGCAACTGGAAGAGTTGGTGAGGTCACTAGGCTCTCATTCAGTGAGTCAGTAGAATTGGTTAATCCCCTATAGTCAGAGCCTTGAAGGTATGGGGCAAACACTAGAGGGATGTCCTAGAAGGAATAGAGGAATCTGGAAGAGCAAGACCAAACTGTGTCATCAATGACATGGGCTAGTGGAACAAAGGGAGACAAAATGTAGGGCCCAGACACAGTGGGGTTGAGGGAAGAGGATGCCGGAGAGTGAGAAGCCACCAGATCACCCCAATGAGGTGAAGAGAATAACATGTGGGCAAGAATTCTTTTCCAAATGGATTTCTCTTTTGTCTTCCTCTTCCTCCCACAAAGGGGAAATGGAGGACCCTTAGGAGTGCTCCCTGTGTGCAGAGATATAAAATTCAGCCGAGTGCAGGCATTGCCATCCTGCGTTTGGAAGTAGCTTTGTCTTTGTGTCAATATGTGGGTGGTTGAATTTAGAGTCTAAAGAAAATCAAACATTGAAAAAAAGCACACATACACACACAAAAAAGGGAGTGGAAGAAACTGCCACAGAGACAATTGTCTAAAAGTCTTGCTACCATTAATCTTACTCTCCTTCCTTGAAGCGGCTGGAATTATTTTCAGTTTGTTCACACCGACTGTGGCAGAGAGATTAAGTGACTCGCCCAAGGTCACACAATCCACCTCCTCCGACTCCAACCTTAATGCAGTATTGATTCCCGGAATGGATAGGCAGAGGCTGTGAAGGGCCGCATGCAGTCATGCTGGAGAAATGTTTCTCACGCGGACTTATTTTGGCTTTGTAAGAAAAATGCCCATTAAGAGCACTCATTTTCCCAATAAAAACACGTTAAAATCTTCTTTTATCTCTCATTTGGTAAAGGAAAATAAATAGCGCTTTTCAGTGGGATTCGCTTCCAGGAACTGAGGCTGGAGAGGTGGAATGAGCTTTCTGAGGCAGCTGCAGAATTCCAGGTCACCGTTCAGGTCAGGTGTGCCTCGGAGTGAGGACAGGAAGCAATTCATTCTATTGCTGAGATCGTCACAAAGACGGGATCAAACATGCCCTAGTTGCACAGCCATTCCAGGTGTCATCGCATCCTTTGTAATGAAAACAACAACAGCAACATGGAAATAAACTAGAACTGAGAGTCTCTTTGAATGAGCGTGCCCGATAACCTCTCTGTCCACAATCTCAGAGGCGTGCATATCCCAGGAAGGGAAGTATCGGTAAACTGCCAAGTCTTGCAGTTATTGGATCCTACTTGGTTTCTGCTCACAATATTACCATTCAATTACCTCCATCACCAGTTCTTACTTTCAATTACATCTCCACATTGATTTTCTCGTTTCTATTATTCCTACGTTAGCTGCCATTTTTCTCTTCTGATGCCTGTCAGCTCCTGTTTGGAGCTGTGAAATTAGCAGGAACACATTGAATGACATGCACAATGCTCTGTTTGATTAGAAATGTCTCGTATCATTTGGCAGGAAAAGCATGGTGATCTTACAATGCAGAAAGTGAAATAGGATCCCTATATCTCTGTCTCCTCATTTAACTTTATTTCCCTTTCTTTCCCCTTTCTTCTAAATGCCTCCATATTTTAGAGAATTAACATCTGAATGTACCAATAAAATAGTCTGAAAATTAAGAGTTGTCGTATAGCAATTCCCTTCACAGCTGTGATCACAACACAGCACACACTATCACTCCTAGAGTCTTCAAGACAGGCTCAGCTCTGACCCAGCCTAGAAGGAGACTACACAAGGGAATGAAGCTAGAGGTGAGGGTGACTGGGGCAATCTGAAAGCATGACTCCCATACACAGTGTCTACAACAAGAGTTAGTCATTTGCATGGAAAATGCCAAAGGAAGCACTGGCCAGCGACTAACTCTGGGCCAAACTCTAAAGAAAAGAAATCTATGTCTGATATCTTCCATAAAACATATAGCGCCAGACGATTACTACTTAATCCAAGTGCTTTTCTTGTTCTAAACTCTCAAATACTAGTCTTCCTGGTAGACTGTGTGCTACTCAATATCTATGGACCTTCGCATCCCCAAATTTAGCTGTTTAATACATTTTGAATGATTGCACGTGCTAGGTGCTGGGTAGAATATGCTGAACAAAAGAGAGGTGGCCTCTGCCCTGTGGGACTTATGTTCTAGTTGGGAAGCCAAGAAATCAAGTAAACCAACA